AAAGCAAAACACAAGCTGATGGCCTTTCCTTCCAAAGACTTAAATCTTAAACAACATTGTGGATTTTCAATTATGACTCAAAAAGCTCCACGGTGGCTGGGGATGTAGCTCAGTGGCACCGCACCTGCCTCACAAGGTCCAAAGTTCAGTCCCCAGTACCAAAAAAAAAAAAAGCGCTCTATGAGCAGCCCCTGGGGAGGCTTTGCTAAGGGCACAGTTAAAAAGCCTGTTTCTGGACAGGGATCTAGCTCAATGGTGCTGCTGCCTGCCTCGCAAGCGCAAAATCCCGAGTTCTAGCCCCATTACCAAAAAAAAAAAAAACCAGCCTGTTTCTGTGTACTGCTGTAGCTATTCCAGTGGGCCATCAGATGCAAAACTTTTCAGATATGGATCTACCACTCTGCTGCTTTCTTTGGTGATTGGCTAATTTCTCAGGCAATGAGTAAAACTACCTGTTGTTGTTTTATGTATTTTATTTATAATCCTGGCACAATCAGCATTTTCTTGTTTTAGCCAAATAAAAAATATATTGTGACAATCATAGCATCAACTTGCTCAACAGTGGTTTCATAAGGTTATGCTCTAAAGTTCACGAAACACTGAATCTACAGGCTGACTAGCAGGACAATTACGTTGTAACCTGAGACAAATTTCTTTTTCTTTTTGAGCCTAGCTGTCTCAGCCAGTAAAGTGAGGACACTGGTCTAGAACACAAACTCCCAGATGCCTTTGATTACCCCAAAAGAGTATGTTAAAAATATAAGCTCTCCAACTCCCTAGCCCAAGCAGGAATCTGAGCTCCTTCTAGTACTGATATCCCATGACTTTCTGAAATAGGGCTGAACAGATGAAAACAGAACTACTTCCCCAAAAATAATTAATTTCTGACTTTCAGTTCCCTTAAAGAGCTAGCAAAAAGCAAGGGTAGCCCAACACTTGATGAGAAGATTGCTTAACCATGGGTGGCAGCATGCATATACTTCAAGCAGCCAAGGGCCACCACTATATGGAATGGAGGTGAAAGCCAGGACAGATGTGTCTTCATCCAATAGAGCCCTGAAGACTGTTGCCTAGAAGAATCAAACAACTATGGCTGGGCTTTAAGCAATTTCATCCTGCAGAACAATGTAGGACAGGCAAAAATGGGGAGGCAGGCAGAAAAGAGAGCTGTTGGCAGAGCTTAAATGGGTAGAGGAGCCACTTGGCACAGCCCTGTGTTCATACAACTCTCTAACAACCTCCAAGTGAGGCCACACACACTTCTGGAGGAAGCGTGTGGGGCTGAAAGATGCTCACACGTACCAACTCCCCACAAGGAATGCAAAAATTATATACTATAAATATGTACTAATTTAAAAATGTGAAAAAAGGAAGTCACCAATATCCAAAACTTTTCAAAGCAATAAAAATTTCCTTTTTCCAAAAAGGTATTTACAGGCTGAAATTCAAAGTCAACATTGTCATCAATGTAATTATTCAAGAGAATATACAAGAGCCCTAGAAAAGACTTGTTGTATTACAAAATATTAGTAATCAAGAAAATATTGCTTACTTTTAAGTCAATATGAGGTAGATAATTTTTTAAAAAGAAGCTCACTATTCAGCTGTACATTTGTATTCTACAAGGAAAGTGGTCCCAATAAATGAAAAGTGTTTTAATATATCTTGTATACTTATAAATACTATGGATAGACTGCATTATGTATGTGCTAAAAGCATTAATTTCTTAAATCATGAATAGACCAAATTTCTATATTCCTGTTTTGAAATTTTCTTTTCTAATGTATGGGGAGCTCAAAAATGGAAGTTGCTCAAGCTTCTCCTCAGCTTCTATCTTATTTTTTGTGCCCAGTTCAGTGGTAACAAGAGCTTAAGGAAGGTGTAGTCAGAGAAAGTGAGAGAGAGATGAGCTGAAGGGATATAATACAGTTGGCCTAAAGAGGGCCTGACAGCCACTTGAAGACGGATGCCAAGAATGATTTTGTAAGGGCTGGAGATGTGGCTCAGTGGTAAGCATTGGCTTAGCATGCATGGATTAGATCCCTAGCACTGAAAAAATAGAAAATAAAAAGTAAAGATTCTGCAGTTTCCAGTCTAGGTCACTGGAAGGGTGACAGTGCTGTTAATAGGAAGTCAGGAGGGGAAGTGGCATGCATGAGGTGATGATAAGTTCCAAGTCTGGTGTAAAGGACTTTGTGTATTCTTTCTGGCTTTCAGTGGGCCAAAGTAACACCACTGACAAAACTGCTCAGGTAGACAAGAAGGGCAATAGAGCCTCAGCCCCATGTTTTGCCCTGAACCATAGAATACCAACCTTCAGAAAAGCACCTATGCAATTCTTAGGAAAATCACAATTCTTTTAGATAACTGAGTCATTCATCACAGATCACCTTAAAAAGTTCCCTCTAAGGTCAACTCATAGCACTATGCATATACGGCACTGATACCACTCGTAGGAGATCTTCAGAACCAAAGAAGACAGGGACCTACTGCCATGGCCATAGTTGGACTTTCAACTCATGTTCCCCATTCTGAAGCCCAAGAATATCCACTTCCTCATCCACAACACCCCTGCCCCTTACAGAACATAGCCCACAGAACTAGAGAATGATAACAACTAAATGGAAACTTCGAGATCACTCAATCAATTGGCTGCTGTTACAGATGAAGAATCCAAGACCCAAAGTGGTGAAGCACAAATCCAGTCAAGGACTAGCCCAGGTCTGACACTAAAGTCCCCCATGCCTCTTCCTATCACCTGGGAACATATCAAGACTCATGGTCATTTTCTTCATATTCCAAGCCCCTGACCCTTCATTTGCAATAGTGTGGCACATGCAGAGGGCAGCAGGGCCTGCATGCCTTAGCTGCTGTATAGAGAGAAGCCTGGAGATGAACAGAGAAAAAGAAGAGGAGGTACAGTGTTTTAGCATGTCATTGCTCAGATTTCCCGCACTTTTCAAAGATGACTCATGAGTAGTTACATTACTCAACAATTGTTAAGAAAAATAATATTAACACTAATTTTTCTTTATATTGGGTCTGAGATCAGTATACAGGATTATTCCTTTTTAAAAAAAAAAAAGGAAAGGAAATCAAAATCAAATGCTTACAGTGGCATAAAATTTGTGTTTTGGGCAGAGGAAAAACTAGAAATTCTCACTGCAACTCATCACTCTATGACATATTTAGAAAAGAGAAGATTGATTACATGCCATAAAAAATCTTGAGCTAGAAATTCAATTTCAAAAAGAATATTAAGTATCATGGCCACATGAGCATTATTAAGTATAAGCATTATTATAGTTAGAATTTATAAGAGAAAAAATAGGTAAACCAGACTACCTTAAGAAAATACATAAAGACAACAACACTAAGCTCACACTGATGCAAATGGTTTTAAAGTTTGCTTTGAATAGTGCTCGCTTTGGTAGCACATATAAAGTTTTAAAGTTTGCTTTGAATAATAATTTTGGAGAAACTGAGAAAAAGGCTCTTCTGCCCATATAAAACTTTTAATGGTGAAGAGATAGTTATCCAATTACCTTAATTTAAACCTTCATTTCCCTAGGAAAATTTCTAGAAAGAGAAAATATTAAACAATAGGTTACGTCTAGAGAGATGACTGAATGAAGATTTGGTTTTCTGATATCTGTTTAATGATTTCAAGTAGGCTGTCTAGAAATTCCTTACGCTGCTTGAAAACTGCAACTTTTTGAATTAAAAAATGAGGAAAAGAATATATATGTGTGTGCGTATGTATGTATATATTTTTTAAGCCAAAACTATAAGAACTTTCATTCAGTCCCAGTGAGAGTAGTTATCAGTACAAGTACACACAGAAAGCAATTGAGCAACTTAATAATATCTATCAAAAACACAAATTCATGTACCCTCTGGCCCAAAAATTCTATTTCTGAGAATGCATTTTATAAATAGACTTGTATACATAAAGGGTTTTTTGCAGCAGCAGTATTTATTAGCAGAAAACTAGAAATGGCACAAATGTTTATTAATATGACACTGGTTAAATAAATCCTAATACAACTATATAATGGAATATGATATATTATATCTGTAGAATATGTGCTCTATGTATTGTATGGAAAGATCTCGAAGATATTAAATTAAAAATTCAGAAAACAGAAGGGTGTGCATTATATGCCATCTTTTGAATTAAAAAAGAGGTAGAGGAAAATTAAGAATCCATGTTTGTATTTGTTTCTAATGAGATTTTCAGAAATAAAAAGATTAAAAACGAAGAGGTTTCAGAAGTATGTTTTAAAAATGAGAACTAGGGAATGAGACAGAGGTATTTTACTGTGCATCTTTTTATTCTCTTTGCTTCTAGGACTATGTGACTATATTATCTATTAAAAAATTAAATAATTTTCAAACAGCTACTTAAGGCTAAAAACATTTCAATAAATAAGATACTTCCTTGTTTTTCATTTTTTTGTTGAGGCACTAGGGATTGAACCCAGGGTTTTCACACTAAAGTACATTCCCAGCCTCTTGTAATTTTTTTGTGCTGTTTTTTTTCTGTTTTGCTTTTTGTGTGTTTTGTTTTGTTTTGTTTTGTTCTGTGACAGGGTCTCACTAAATTGCTAAATTGCCCTGGCTGGGTTGGAATTTGGAATCCTACTACCATAGCCTTTCATAGTGCTGGGATTATAGGCTTTCATCACCATCCATGGGTGCTGCTTCCTCGTGAAACAAACAAACAAAAAAAAGAAGATATTTTAGCATCTTCTTAAAGGAATTTGACCTTTGAGCCTTTAAGCAAAATATGAAACTAGATGAATCATCCTTGCTTCTTTAAAAGTATTTTTCTATGCCTTGCATAAATGTAACACATTTAGTACTTTAGTCTAAAACTAATCCCATTTCAACATTTTCAAGTTAAATCTGAACTTGCTTACAGACATAAAAACCAGCTAAATTCCAGCAAGCAGTCACTTTTAAGAGCTCTCCTATCTCACTACAGAAAATATCCATACCTTTGTCAGAATGGTTCTTCCTCCCATGAGGAATTCGGTGAAGGCACAGAATATACCCATCTTTTGTCTCCACCAGGTGTTCCTCAGCCAGGAATCCCCAGTGTCGGATAATTTCTGTCTACAGAGAGAAAGGACAGAACCTGATGCCATCTTCCACATTAACAAGCAAAGGAGAAAATAAATGTCAATCATCTTTTTCAAGCTTTATTTAAGAAATCAATTGCTATTGTCATTTGAGTCTGTTCTATCTAGTAGCCAACATTCTATCACAAGAATAAATCCTCCATACCCACAGGTATTTGGCTAAACCTTGATGTCATAACTCTAGCATGTTCTATACCAAATATTTCTAATTTTATCACAGTGTATGGCCTTGTTGTTTCCATCCTGCCTACTAGGCACAAACAAATACCTACTTCTTTCTTTTCTACATTTAGAGTGTTATGACAGCTAGCATTTTCCTTGTTTAAGACATCCCATCCTAAGAAAGCATAAAAATACAATCTATTTTTCATCAGTGAACTAAAAACTACACTAGAATGTCAAGATGCACTTGAAGAAAAGCTATAAAAATATGGAATTATGATCAAATTCTCTTAAGAAATCTATGGGATAATTATTAATTGGAAATTCTATGGGCTATAGATGAATCAATTATCCAGAAGATTTAATGTAAATAAATGTTTATTATCTCCACCATAAATACCTGAAAATATTTAATTTTGTAATGCGTATAGGAAAACATTGGTTAGAAGAGGGAGAAATAAAAGATTTGAGATAAGAACTTAAATTTAACCTGAAGACCATGCTATCAGGCTATATTCTCCTGACTCACTATGAAGTTTTCTCAGGGTCTATAGTTAACTGATTCATCAATTAGGTCACTGGATCTTCTATTTTAAAGTTGATATTGCCTTAAATAATCTGTATGTTTTCAATATTTTAGGCCTAAGTGAAGTACTTCCAGGTCTGATTGTTTATTTAAGACAAATAACTTTGAAATGTTTTAATAAATCAAGGAGTTATTTTTGTTTATTTTTTCTAACAATTTTTTTCAGATACGTTGACTTTTGCATCCATGTATGTTCGCTAGATATTCTTAATTCCAATCTTTGTTTGGTGTATTCTAAAGCTGTCACTCAGGAGTGAAATCTAGCAAACAGAATCTAAGATTCAGAGAAAAAAATGAAAAGCACAATGAGCTGTAAAGTGAATAGTTATCACTTCATAAAGCCCATGTAACTGGATATAAGGAAATAACATTTGTCATAGCCACATAAAAGTATATGACATTGAGAAACTTACCACATTCATGTTTGCTTCAGGATCCACAGCTCTCACCTTCCCCCTGGACCCCACAGAACACAGGATTCCAAGGATCAAACAGACCAGCAACGTCAAGGGCTTCATTTTCATTCTATAGAAAATAGTTCATCGTTATTTTACTACGCCAAAATGCACTGGCAAATTCAAGCTCTCATAAAAAGTTCTGGACCAGGTTGAGGGCAAGTAAAAGTCAGATGAAAGACAAGTACAAATGACTCCAGCCATATGTTGAAGGAGAAAATGTGGAACACTTTTTTGCAAAGAAATCTCATTCCTGCCACCCCCAGTTAACACAGGACCTTTGGAGCCCACACCACACCCACTAGCCTCCCACCAGAAGGTAAAAGGAAATATTTTTAGAGAAATAACAGGAGACAGGACCTGATTCCGATCAAAAAAAGGAAGAACCACAAAACTCCACAGCCTGTGAATTTCTCAACTTTTCCTCCCACTTGTAATTAAACTTTTTTTAAGTTCAGACAATATTAGTTCTTGCCTCCTACTACCTTCTCACTTCTGTTCTTGCCCTAAATTATGTCAGGATTCAAATTTGTCACTCAAGGGTGAAAAAATGTGAAATGAAAGAGAGCCTCCAAGAGAAATAGAAGAAGAAGAAGCCAACACCTCTCTCTCCCCTGAACCTCTCCAATAAGAAGCAAAGATCATCCTAGTTTCTGTCAGGGCAGATAAATCACAGCATAGCAAAGACCTGGGAGATGTTAAAGATGAGGTGAGGTGTGCCCTGGGGAGCCAGCAGAAGCAAGGCCAGGCTGGAGGGGCCGCCTCCCATCCCGCCTACTTCCAGAAGGCTGCTAATGCAGTCGGGTGCGTTGGCTCTAACCCACACCTCCAGACAACTGCTGCGAGCTTCAGTGATACCCACACTGCTTCAGTTATGATAATACACAATAAACTTTCAAGAGAGGGGCTCTGCCCCTGAGGAAAAAAAAAAAAAAAAAAAGAAGATGAGGTGAGGTGACTCTCCCAAGGTCATGCAGATAGAGGAACTGCTGAGACAGGACCCAGTTCTCCTACATTTAAAAAAAATATATGCCCATACAATGACTACACAAATGTTAACAAGAGCTTATATGTAGAAGCAAGAAACTAGACAAATTGGAATACGACAAATGGGCAAAAAGATAAATGAATCCTATGTGTGTGTGTTACTCAGCAATAACGAGGAATGAATGCACAGTAACTTCAATGAATCTCAAAATAATTGTACTGAATTGAGAAAGAGAGAGATAGAGATAGAGAGAGAGAGGAAATATTATTTGGCCCACTAATATAAAACTTTGGGAAATTCAATCTGATCTATATTGAGAGGAAGTTCATCAGTGCCTGGGAGGAGAGGAGACAGGAGGGAAGAATGACCAGGGGACATATATATATAAGGAATCTTTGAGGATAATATTTAGGTTCATAATATTGAATTGATTTCACAGGTACATACGTATATCAAAAAGTGAAAAAATTCTACAATTTAAATATGCCCTACTATTGTATGTCAATCGTAGCTCAATACTATATTGCTGCCTTAAAAAATGTACACCATGCACTGTACAAGTTTTCAAGAAGTTATTGAGATGAATTGACTCCCTTCTGTTAAAAAATTCCTCCTGGAGTTATTTTTCTAAGCAGTAGTGAATTCTGAAATTTCAGATAGGAGGCAAGATCATCTTGAGTTTGTATTGGCAAAGCAAGCCCACTGTTTTTAATTAGAAGTGTGCACTTAGGTAGTTGGGAATGGCTGTACAACCCTGGGCTACCTTTTATCCTATGATCTCCCTTAGGGTAAGAGAATAGCAGTAGACTGAAAAGAGAAACTTTAAAGGTTAATACCACAATTTAATATAAAATTTCTAGGGCTGGGAATGTAGCTCAGTGGCGCCACGCCTGCATGGCAAGAGCAAGGTCCTCAGTTTGATCCCTGGTTCTGCAAAATAAATTAATTAATTAAATTTCTACACAACACCTATCCTAAGAGAGCTTGGACCAGCTGCCAAAGGTTGCTCAGGAAGGATAACAGCTGAAGCCACTCAAATGGAAATGTCATCCAGTTGATTTTGCCTTCCAGTATAACACTTACTTTCTCAACACACTAGACAAGCAATTTTCATGTAGGAAGAGACTGAGTTCAAAAGAGAAAAAAAAAAAATTCTGGACGGGGCTCAACGTGCTAGTCTGGGGTCTTAGAACCTTTATCTTAGTTCTTTTGATTTTGTAACAATCCAATTAACTGCTTGTCTGCCTACATTTCGCCCAGTCACTCAACTTTGTCTATCAAGGAAAGAAGCACATGTCAGCTGCACAACACGGATTTTGAAAAATGGGATGAGGCGATCCAACAGTTCAGTGGCCCAAGAAAAGAAGGCTTGGACACAGCTTGTCATTTACTTTTCTGGTAATAGCAACAACAAAATAATTACTATGTTCTGCAATGCGCCAAACTGGGAGGGCACTTTGGATACGAAGTCAACCCCAGCAACGTATTAATTAAGTTCACTTTTCAGGAAACTAGGTCAGAGGTTAAGCACCGGAAGCAAAGTGTGAGCTAGTTAAACAGCAGTCGCTGGCATTTTAACCAGGACCACTGCCCTGGTCTGACCACGCCGTTGGCTAAGGAATGAAGCGTGGGGTGGGCTGCCTGGAAGAGCTAACGGAGAGGACAGATTGCTGGGAATCGGCGTCCTGGCCGTCCCCGCTGTCCACCTGCTCTGAGCAGTTTAAGAAATCCGAGGGCGCCAGGAAAGGGTGGGCCACTTCAGAGTGTTGGGAAGATGCCTCGACCACCGACCGAGGACAGGCACTCGCAGGTACCCCAGACTGGCGCACCGGGGAGCCAAGCGAGGGGCCCGGAGCGCGGGGACAGCTGCCCTCCCTGGGCGCGTAGATAGCAGGGCTCCTGCCCTGACCCCACTCGCACCTGCTCCCGGCTTTGCACTCACCTGGAGTCACCCTCCGGAGCCACGGTCCAGTGTCGCAGGGCCTGATAGCGGGAGCTGGATTGCTGCTGCCGGAGGGGACCAGGAGGGCAGTAGACCCCACTTAGGGAGGGCGGGCACCACCCACACCCACACCCACACCCATACCCACACCCACTGGGCTCAGGCTACTCGCGCAGCCAACCAGAGGAGCCCGCCCCGGGAAGTGCCCCAAAGCTCCGCCCCCGCGCAGCCCTGCCTTCGGAGCCAGTCTGGGAGCAGCGCCCTGAGGAGCATGCGCCGTGGGCCCGACCAGCTGAGCTCTGACCTGGCCTCCCACAGCTGAGCTCTGACTGAGGTGAGAACCCAGTAAGAGATTTTTAACAGAATGCAACATAATCTGGTTTGCTGAGGTCAGCTGGTTTGACCTCTGGTTGCTGAGGTCAGCTATGGAAACAGGGACACTAGAAGCTTACTGCAGTACTCCTCACAAGAATTAATGATAGCTGGGACAAGGGTCCTGACAGCAGTGAATGTGGAGAAAAGTAGTCAATCATAAGTGTGCTCATAAAGTTGAGCCGACAGGATTTGCTAATGGATTAGACAGAGGTATGAGAGAGAAAGCAGTGTGGAGGGTGGCGCTGGCATGCTTAATAAAGTAGAGGTACCATCTGTCAAAATGGAGAAAAGCACCAGGAAGAATTTGAGAGTTGTTCTAGATGTGTTGATTTGGAGATACCTTTTAAGGCCACAGCAGGGGAAGAAACCATTTGAAGCATTCCAAGCAGTGGAAATCGTTGCACAGGTAACGGAGTTGCTGGGAAGAAAAAACAGCATTTGGCCAGGCACGCCACAGATTGTTAGAACAGTGGAATGCCTGAACATTAACAAGAGAAGATGATCGTCAGCAGAGACCAGCAGTTGAGTTGCAGCCTCTGCCAGAGACACCCAAGGCCAGAAAAGGGAGCTACAGATTACAAGGCTTTCCCTTCCCCCACCTTTCAGTCACTACCAGTTCCTACTGTAGGTCAAAAACATGCTAGAAGCTGACCACAGGAATTTAGGACCTGCAGCCTGCAAGAGTTAGACCCTGTCCACCCGGTGACATAAAGTGGAACAGGGGAAGAACAGGGTATGGATCTGAGGCCAAAAGGCAGAATCAGTAAAGCGTCCACATGGAGGTGGTAAGCAGGCACCAGGATTTCTGGGTCTAGTATTCCAGATCTAGTTCCAGGCTAGAGATACAATTTGGAAATAATCAGCTTAGAGACCTAATTTAAAGCCTTGAGTCTAGATAAGATCTGTAAAGTCAGTCTGAACAGTGAAGAATGTACTTAGATATTCAACAGATAAAATAGCTTGAGATGCAATTGAAGAACTAAAAGTGCTGTACCAGACACAAAGTTAAAAAAAATTCAAGAAAGGCAATGATCAGCCCAGGTAAAGTGCTAATGGTAATTTGAGTGAGCAATGAGAAACAAACATCAAATTTAGCAATATTTCTGCATGTCAGACATTGTGCTGACTTTATGTGGGGTGGGTCATAAGTCCTCAAAGCCCCATACCTCCAGTTTACAGATGAAGAAACTGAAGCTTACAAAGGTTAAATATATTTCCCATAGTTACAGAAGTAGAAAATGATGTAGCTCAAATTCAGTCCAGGCAAACTAAATCCAGGTTATTTTACAATGAATGAACAAATGAAAATACAACCAAAAATTTCTTTATCCAGATAAGAGAGAATCCTCCCTCACAATCTTCCTGCTCTGGGCCATTGTGACCCATACTTTATATAAAGAGAAAGTTTTACAGAGTACAAGGCTGGCTGGTGATATGTAGGCAGATGGGATTTTTTGCTTTTGTAGTGCTGAAGATTGAATTCTGAGCCTCATGCTAGGTAGGGGCTACCACTAAGCTAAACCGCAAACCTAGGATGGGCATTTTGTATCACAAGCAAGACTGGTGGATTTAAGACTGAAATGATAATACTATTAACAGTTTAGCTTCTACCCAGATTTATTCTCCTGCTTTAAATAACTAGGGGGGAAATGTGTGCAATAATAGTTTCAAACACTGGACAGCATACTGGCCAAGAAAGCAATCCTGAGGAAAGCAAGCAAGTGAAATGAGCCCTCAATGCCCAAAAAACCACCTAGAAAGAATTTCCAGCCTGCAGTTCAGGGAGGGGAAATCTAAGCAAAATCCAATAGTTTCTCTGAATGTAGGAGACAGACCAGAATTCAGGAAGGCTAAAGAAGTAAAATATTAGAACAGAGAGAGCTAAATACAGAGAAAGGCAGATCTCCAGAGAACTCCTAAGGGTCCCCCTCAAGGCTTGGACTAAGTATTAGTCAGATCCTGTAAGTTAAGAAGTTACACTACATCAGGGAAATAACCACCTGAAAAGTGCATTTTCCTTAGGGCCAGAATGGGAAAACTTGATAATATATAAGGCACTAGGTAGAAGATTCATTAGAGCATTGTTTCAGTATTGGTACAAAATTAGGCCTAGGTTAAGGCTATTTAAATGCAAGAGTACTAAGCTAGACCCCTGTTATGGTTTGAGTCTAGATGTCCCCCCAAAGCCTCATGCAGCTTTTTCAAAGGTGGCTGAATCTAGAGTGTGTGATGCTGGGATTAAGGGTGTGTGATTAGTAAACCAGTACACTGATTGCTTTGGCACTGTTCTAATCCCAGTAGTCTGGATAAGATAAAAGAGGCAGAAAGATGATGTTAAGGTTCCCTTATTGCTTTTGCTGTCTTCTGCCACCATGAACTGTTGCCCCTCTGACATGTGCCAACCTACCTTAGAGCTAGCCAAGTATGGACTGAAACCTCTATGAACTGTAAGCCAAATAAGCATTTCCTCCCTTCAGGTGTCAGGTATTTTGTGACTTTGTGACTACAAAAAAATACTGCATAATAGCCACTACAATGACTATAATAAAAAAAAAACAGACAATAGCAAGTGCTGATGAGGATGTGGGGAAATTTGAATCCTCACACACAACTAGTAGAAATGTAATATTTGTGGCTATTGTGAAAAAATAATCTTTTAGTCCCTTGAAAAGCTAAATACACAGTTGTTATGTAACCAGAATTTCCATTCCTAGGTATATACCCCATATAAATGAAAAACATAAATTTACATAAAAACTTGTAAACATATGTTCACAGGAGCATTAGTCATAATAACCAAAAAATAAAAGCAATCTAATGTACATCAACTGAAGAATAGATGAATGAACTGTGATATGTCTATACAATGAAATATTTTTCTCTAAAAAGAAAGTCTAATACAAACTACAACATGAAAGAAGCTTGAAAATATTATGCTAAGTAAAATTAGCCAAACACAAGACTACTCTATTATATGAACACCTAAGGCTATACTTGATAGGAGATTCTGGACACTCAGAAGACCAGAATGTTGATAGGAATTCTGCCAGTACAGACCAGGCTCAGGAGGTTTCTGCTCGGAAGAAGGACTGCACTGTTGGACTCCAGACCATGTGTGTTATGGCTTGGCAGAAAGTTTGTCTGCATTTTGCTCATATCCAGAGACTGCCTGAGACTGAAATTAAAGACGACAGACTAACCTGGCAGAAGAAATTTCAAGGCAGTGTAATATTGAGACTTAAACTTTTCAGCAATGCTGAAACTGTTAGGACTTTAGCAACACTTACAGAGAGACTAAATGTCTTTTCCATAAAAGGATATGCATGAGTCTTTGGGATCCAGGGGCAGAATGTTATGGCTTGAGTTTAGATGTCACCCCAAAGCCTCATGTGGGCTTAGGTGGCACTTTTTCAGAGGTGGCTAGATCTAGAGTGTGTGAAGCTAAAATTAATTCATGATACAATGCTAAGATCAAGGGCACTAAGTAAGATTAATGGTGTGAGTGCTACCTGTCCTAAGTAGCAGATATAATATATAAGGGATAAAAAGAGCTGTGATCATCCCTTGCTTGCTTTGTTACCTTTTGCCCACCATGAACTGTTTCTCCTCTGTGATACTTGCCTGCCGTACCACCCTGTCTTAGAGCCAGCTGATTATAGACTAAAAGCTCTACAAACTGTGCACTAAATAAACCTTTCCTCCTTTAACCTTGGGTGTCAGGTATAAGAGAAAAATAACTAAGACAGAAGGAATTTAAATGTCTTGCTTTCCTTTGTAAACCCCGATAAAAGGTTTATTGACATAGAGTTAAATTACAAAGTTAAATGAGAGATGGAGGGGAGGGGGGAGTGGGAGGAAAGAGCTGTCAGAAGGAGAATGGATGGAGTTCAGGAAGCCAGAACACTCCAGATTTTGACCTATTAAGGCTGCTTCTTCCTTGTCCTAATCTGGGCTTTCCAGTTAGTTCTATCACAACAGGTGAATGGTGTCTGGCAGTTGCACATCTCAGCACCAAAACAATATCTAGAAAGTATTCATTTCCAGCATGTAATTGGCTTTGATCCCATCAGCAACATCTACGGTTGCCTACTAAAAACCTAGCTCTAAGATGGTGAGTTAAAGTCTTCAGTTCCTTTCCACACAGACATGAGTACATGGCCATAATATCTAATTTCCAAGGCATGCCCAGAGGCCCTCGATATGTTTCATCTGGCAACATAGCCAGTTATCAGAGTATTTAGCATTATTCCTTAATTCTCCCATCTATAAATTGAGTTATTACTAGTATAATTGTCCCTCAAATTCTTCAAGAGGGACAGTAACCCTCTCGTTTCTGGAGCCCCCAAGGATACCAAAATCTGCAGATGCTCAAATCTTTCATATAGAACAGCATAGTGTTTCCATAACCTATAAACATCCTCCTAGATGTACATAACCTATGCACATCATCTCTAAATTACTTAAAATACCTAACACAATGTAAATGCATATGTAAAATAGTTGTTATACCATATTGTTTAAACAATAATGACAAGGAAAAATGTTTGTACATGTTCAACACTGGCATCATTTCTTTTCCAAGTGTTTTCAATCCAGAACTGGTTGAAGCTGTGATGTGGAACCTATAGATAGGGAAGGCCAATGTACCTCATAGGGTTATTAAGGAGATTACATAAATACCCATATAAAGAGTTAAGATGATGCTTGACACACAGTAAGCACTCAGTAAATTTTTTTTTGGTTTATTGTTTATTTTTATTAGTACATGTTGGTAGTCCAT